TTACTCAATATTGGGCTCATAACAGCTTACTAATATTGGATTGGGCTCATAACAGCTTATTAATATTGGGCTCATAACAGCTTACTGATATTGGGCTCATAACAGCTAACTAATATTGGATTGGGCTCAGAACAACTTACTAATATTGGGCTCATAACAGCTTACTAATATTGGGCTCATAACAGCTTACTAATATTGGATTGGGCTCATAACAGCTTATTAATATTGGGCTCATAACAGCTTACTGATATTGGGCTCATAACAGCTAACTAATATTGGATTGGGCTCAGAACAACTTACTAATATTGGGCTCATAACAGCTTACTAATATTGGGCTCATAACAGCTTACTAATATTGGATTGGGCTCAGAACAACTTACTAATATTGGGCTCAGAACAACTTACTAATATTGGGCTCATAACAGCTTACTAATATTGGATTGGGCTCATAACAGCTTATTAATATTGGGCTCAGAACAACTTACTAATATTGGGCTCATAACAGCTTACTAATATTGGATTGGGCTCATAACAGCTTATTAATATTGGGCTCATAACAGCTTACTGATATTGGGCTCATAATAGCTTACTAATATTGGATTGGGCTCATAACAGCTTATTAATATTGGGCTCATAACAGCTTACTAATATTGGGCTCATAACAGCTCACTAATATTGGATTGGGCTCATAACAGCTTATTAATATTGGGCTCATAACAGCTCACTAATATTGGGCTCATAACAGCTTACTAATATTGGACTCATAACAGCTTACTAATATTGGATTGGGCTCATAACAGCTCACTAATATTGGGCTCATAACAGCTTACTAACATTGGGCTTAAAACAGCTTACTAACATTGGGATCATAACAGCTTACTAACATTGGGCTTAAAACAGTTAACTTATATTGGGCCAGTAAAGTAATCATCAGATGCTGACACTTATAAGGGAAACAAGCATTTCAATTTTTAAAAACTTACGTCATCAGCATTTGGGTTACATATAATAATAATGACAGCTTTTCTTTTTTCTCTTGAACAATGACCACCATATGGGTCCCCACCCCTAAATTCTATCATAATCCAATCATCTGTAAATAAAATATCACATGAAAGATAAGAATTGTCACATACCCCACATTCAAACATCAACCAATGGATCAGCAAGGGTCAATAAGTTCCTGTTATTGGCGATAAATATACATATATCAGTCTGTCAATAAGGCTAAGGGCACACAAACAGTCTAAAGCCCTGTTTATACAACCACGTTTACTTACATAAGCAAATATACTCTAGGAGTAAATATGCTCATGTGAGTAACATTTGGCTGTATAAACAGGGCTTAAGTTACCGACGAGAATCTTGGCATGAGTTTTGCTGACCAGCTGTAGACACATGGGAAGACAAAAAATTTCATGTGCAGATTGAAATGAATCTAATTAATGATGATGCTCTGTCTTGCAGACGATAAAACAATCGGCCACAAATATCATATTGGTTGATATCATAAATCTTGTTGCCAATGAGAATATCTTGTCATTGAATCGCAGGTACATGTGAGATTTTACTCAAGATTCGAGTTGGCCACAAAAATTGGCAACCAAGACTGTTTGTGTGCCCGCAGCATAAGAGTCTGATTAAGAGATAACTAGAGATGGGCGATGGATATTATGATATTTATATATTATGTTGTGGGTGTATATAGCCATATTTCTTGAGTATGGTTCTTACTGGTTTCTTTTCACAAAAATTTTAAAAGTGAAAAAATTCACAATCATGAATTAACATCTTTCAAAAACAACAGAGTTACAAATAGAAATATTAAGACAGAAATTTAATTGTGTTGTTACTCTGATTTTCACCATATGTGATCTTCAGACAACTGACCTATTTTCAGCCTGCATCCCCACTGAAGTTGGACAAGTAGAACTTATTCTCATGTCTACATTTGGAAACAAATTGTGTAGATGATCCTATGCAGACAAAAATTTGACAGTACATCATGATCACAACAATACCACAGTTAACAATATGGTACTTTAACCACATTTCTAACAATTCAAATTTCTGTACCAGTATAAGTATGTTAAGATCTTAGGCAGACTGCACAGACTTGTACACCTCCTGAAACTATAATAAATGATAGATATATTTACTCACTGCCTGCTTTGAGTTGTGTTTGGTTATACATTCCAAGAACATAAACTTTTTTATGACCCTCAGAAACTACACCCACATTGGTTTGAATAACACTCACATTTGGATACGTGTTGTCATCGTCCACAGGTTTACATATTCCAATTGTGTACACAAATTTGAGGACAACATCTTTAGCAGTATATCTGAAATAAAATTTCATTATTTAATAGATAAAGATTTATAAAGCATGAAGTGACTATTAATACTGCAGCCAAGAACTTCAAGCTCTACACTTAAGCTATCCACAGGGCTTTTGAGTGCACAGGAAAGCCATTTATACTGATTTGCCTTTCATTATGAAATGTCTTCATACGCACGCAACCAGATCAAGATGTCTCACGGTAGAATTGTTCAATATTCTACTAGATCTAAATGGGAAAGGCTAAAATCATGGTTTGCACCCCCACTTTATTTCTAAAATTTTGAATTCATTCTTTATATGTTTTTGACCCAAAATGTGTCAATATGCGCCAAATAATTTCAATTTTTAAAAATTTGGTTGGAAAGAACCTAGGGCTGGGTATCGATTACCAAAATTGAGATCGATTATTGACAGAAATAATAATTAAATAATCAAAACCCTGTAATTGCTACATTAAAATCATAAAATTTTTAATTCCATGGGTTATTTTTGTCTCATAGAAGTATATTCTTGCTTTGATCTGTTATTATGGCTTATTGTTGGTAAGTTATATGCTGAAGGCAACCTATGAGGAAAAGATTACTACATGCTAACAGGAACAGTGGAGAAAATGTAACTTTGACATATAATCGATTATGGAATTTGATTAATGATAATCGAAATTATAACTACGTAGCCACAACAATCCCTTATTTTACAAAACCCTAGAGTAGAAGAACCCTCTCAGACAGGATTGTGCCTCTCTGCTCCATTTGAATCAACCTTGACAGTTGATGAAGTCCCCCATGAAGTCAGCCTGCCCCTTGTTTGTAGTCAAAGTTTCGGGAGGCTGGGCTAGTTAAAGTTTTTAGTCTCTAAGTAAATAAATACTATGGGAAACCATGCAACAAACCTTTTGCCTATGAATGGTTTTAATTTGTTGTATGCGCGGTGGTCGCTTGGAAAAGGAACCTCTTTTCCGTCTGGAGACATGTTGATTAATCGGCAATCATCGCTGAACACCGGCACCAAGATTAATGACAAGTAGGAAATGGTCACTAGGATCATAGCTTCAGTTTGAAAAAATGTAAAAAGTGAAGAAAATAAGGATCAAATAGGCGAAATATGATTTCAGATTCCTATTTTGATAAGGCCGGAAGCACACGTGACAGATTGTTTATGCTGCCGCGGAGAAAATATTTCCTGGGTTCTCATTGGTTGAAATTCTCAAACAAGACACACCTACTGAAACCTGAAGTAATGACGAAGTGTCCATCGTGAAAATTAATAATGTCTGTTGTAAATCAACAGGAACAGCCTACAAAACCGACTGTGCCAAACGTGTTTTCATTTATTACTTGTTTTAAAATTGTTATGCGATCTTTACACTATGTACTATGTAAATTGTCGATATTATAGGCCATCTATATTGTTGAAACACCAGACCATATTATTTTACCTGAAGACCATAATCATAAAGAAGCATTTCAATTTGAGAAGACGTAATCAGTGTCTATATACGACACGACGTTATGTACAGAAATTGAGATTGCCTGAAAAAACATAAACAAAAAAGAGTAGCCTCCCCTTTAACAGTGACCCGAGATTGAAAGTTTAATTAATCTTATGACAATAGCGTACGTAGTAAGAGTTTGTGGTCAAATGACAATAGTGTAGCAAGAATTTGTAGTCAAATGACAATGTCAATAGAGTAGTAAGAGTTTGTATTTAAATGACAATAGTGTAAGAGTTTGTATTTAAATGACAATAGTGTAGTAAGAGTTTGTATTTAAATGACAATAGTGTAGTAAGAGTTTGTATTTAAATGACAATAGTGTAGTAAGAGTTTGTATTTAAATGACAATAGTGTAGTAAGAGTTTGTATTTAAATCACAATAGTGTAGTAAGAGTTTGTATTTAAATCACAATAGTGTAGTAAGAATTTGTATTTAAATCACAATAGTGTAGTAATAGTTTGTAGTTAAATGACAATAGTGTAGTAATAGTTTGTATTTAAATGACAATAGTGTAGTAATAGTTTGTATTTAAATGACAATAGTGTAGTAATAGTTTGTATTTAAATGACAATAGTGTAGTAATAGTTTGTATTTAAATGACAATAGTGTAGTAATAGTTTGTATTTAAATGACAATAGTGTAGTAATAGTTTGTATTTAAATGACAATAGTGTAGTAAGAGTATACAGATCGTGTGAGGTCGTATATCGATACTCGACGATACTTTCATTCCATAAAAAAGTCAATTGTTTCTTCAACACCATATCTATTTGCAAAGAAAAATATTTTTGTAATTTGAAACTGATCTCGAATCGGACATTTAAAGAAGAAGAAATTGAAACCTATTATTATTATGCCGCATGCGGGGGTTTGATTTTAATTTTATATACCAATGTGTTATCAGTGAAGTCAGTATCCGTAGATACTTATCAAAATCCTGTTTGTTTAGTCACTTAGCCAGACAATACCTAAACATCGTGATATCAACAACATATTCAGACTTAAAAATTTTCCTTGTTTCGATTTGTTGTGAAGATGCGTTTTTTTTTTTTTTAGTGTCAAATTAAGCAAATTTATTGATTAATTTGTATTTATAATGAATTATCATGTATTCCTAATCATATCATTATGTTCTTATTTCATATAATAAAGAGTTTTAACCAATCATAAAATGTCCATGTATGTACAGTCTGGTTAAACAAAAAATACTTTTTGACCTTTCTTGATCGGTCACTCACTGGAATTCTGCAAGTGATTCTTATTTAGCTAATCATGAATTAATTAAGGACATGTGATACGAACTGGTATTTTTCCAAGTCATTAGAACACGTCTACTTTCTATTGATATAAGTATTAGCATTTTCATTTTCATAAATGAAAATAAGGGAACCCATCTTTAATCTGAATTATGGGTGAAAAAAATGCAATATGTTAATTTCTGGGATAAGAACCCTTACAGATATTTATAATAAAATTAGATAAAATTTGATATTAAAAAATCTAGTATTAAATTTACTCAGCCTCAGATCCACTGCGACTGTTTGCGGACCACTGGGGATGATAAAGTGGAACATCTCAATGCATCGCAATAATAAATGCAAACTGTTCGCTGTGTTTCAGAGAACAGCGATCATAGGTTTTTAAAACTTTTTTCTGTAATTGTGATATCATCAATAATTCGCCTTTATTGAATAGTATAATATAATACACCAACCCACAACTATTTTGTCCTTTAAATGTTGTATAGTTTACCTTGCCAGGCAACTACAGGATGTAGAATATATTATATAAGAAAATGCATCAACGACCACAACTTAAATATTCACAATGATTCTACTACACATTATTCTACTATTTTCTGTTATTAATGTTTCATGTCATGACCTGTCAACAACTCCTAAAGTATCGGATAAATCATCACTACAACCATGTTCACGGACAGATACAACAGATGATATTCAAGATTTAAAAGTTCAGATTTCTCAACAAAATACAAGATTCGCACAACAAAATACCAACATAGCAGACCAAAATACCAAATTAGCAGAACAAAATACCAAATTAGCAGAACAAAATACCAAATTAGCAGAACAAAATACTAAACTTGCGGAGCAAGACATTGAAATATTGGAACAGAATATCAAAATTAAAGAATTGGAGACGAAAATTGAGGAACTAAAAAAGGAAGACGCCCGAGAAAATCAACCCCTATCAAGAAATAGTAAGTTAACCCTTTGTTTACCAGGCATAGAAAAAGATATTTTTTGGAAACCAAATATGAAAAGAATTGAAACGATGAAGTGATGGTTCAAGTCCTGTACGTGATTTATGTAAAAAGTCCTATGTTTTAAACATCGCGGGAATCCATTATTCGACTTCAGTGTCAATGGACGCGTCTCATGAACTAAAAAATACAGTCTTTGATAGATTGGTTTCATTTTTTGTTTGAAGATTATTTAAGAATTGAATGTAGATTTTTTAAAGTTCATTAAATGGCAAATTAACACGTGAAAATTAGACGTTCATCAACCAATGCATGAACGCAAAAAAATCCACATTCAATCCTTATATTTAGGCTACATTCGGTGGTGTTCAGGAATCTAGTTCAGGAATCTATAACGGTGTTATAGAGTTTACTATTATAGTTCACTAGAGTTTTCTTAGTGGGGTGGACTTGCCGAGCCCTCTTGACATGGGTTAATGTAATTCGTGAACAACAACTTCACCACAATTCCTAATAGACCTATATACTTATATCTTCTAGATTGGACTTCTAAAGAAACTGGTAGTATATTTACTAGATGGGGACGAAGAGATTGTCCCCGAAATGTATCTCGGTTAGTATATTCAGGTACAGTTTTTATGTTTTATACGGTAGACTGAATAATTTATATGATATTAATGTGACGTGATCTTGTTTGATTCCAGAAAAAATCTGACAACGAACCAATTCCATTACTGCAACTAAACACCATTGCCCCTCCTGATATATATCTTGCCCCTCCAAACAATCCAGTCTGACTACGGGTCTGATTCAAATAAAAGCAGATCTATAATTTCATTTGATCTCACAGCAAGTCAATGGGAGGTTATAGCAGGTGTGTTCAATTCTTGTTAACTTATATCTAGGTATAACTGGTGGATCACAATTTACACATACTGGAGGAGCAGCAGAATATGTTTGTCTACCACCTGATCCAATATGGAACGTTGATAAACATTTGAAAAATGATCATTGGGGATATATGTATGGTGCAGAATATCAGGGTGGTACAATGCGATTACATAATTATGAAGTACCATGTGCTGTATGCCGAACTAGCCAGTTTTCTACAGTATTAATGATACCAGCTAGATCAGAATGTTATCAAGGCTGGCAGAAAGCATACCATGGAGAGTTAGTCAGTGGGTATTATGAGCATAATGCAGCGTCTCAATATATTTGTTTAGATGATAACCCACACATCAGCGGCACAAAAAGTGATAAAAATGGTAAACTATTATACTGGGTGAGAGCATGGTGTGGATCACTACCATGTCCTCCCTATGAAAATGACGCACTTCTTACATGTGTTGTCTGTTTGAAATAGATGCGAAATTATTAGTACAATACTAGTGATAGTGGTAAACTAGTCTACCCAGTGTGAGCATAATTATGTCCTTAATAAAAAAAACACTCCCATCACATGTGTCTTTTGTTGCCTCCCCTGTCAGTCTGTCGGCCCGATCCTCCACAACAGGCTTGTATATTCTTGTATTAGTGAGTTTTCAGATGAGTTAAAGGGATTGTGAAAAGTTTCTAAAACAAATTTTATTGTGTATCTTAGACATTAATAAGTGTTTAATGACGTGATTAATTGCGAAGGACCACGAAAATGGCTTTACAACTCTCCGCACGAAATCCCCTCTAAATTACGCCACTGGTACCTAGACTACTGACTGCAAAACGGTGGAATTAGATCCGACCAAAATAATTACAAAGCGAGCAATGCAAGCACTATCAAACCAGAAATATCCGCTTACAATCTTTCTCCTCAGATTCTAGCAGTAAAGTCCATGCCTTCAAAAACTGTAAGAAAAGGAGCACTGTTTATTTTCCTTGGTTTTCTCCGACTCCATTCTATTTAGGCGGACAGATTTACGCGGAGAGCTAAAATAATACACCCTATGCGATAAAGCATATTTTGCGATTAGTCATGTCATCAGTTAGTTTTAGTGGAATTGCAGGAACCACAGACGTCTGATTGAAAATTGGAATGGAGAAGGTCATGCTATCAGTGTCCCAGATACACAAAAAAAACCTAAGAAACCTCTGAAAGTTAACAGGATTTTTGCCGTTGACATGCATTTTGCTCACAGTCGATAGAACTTTGGCGAATATTTTTTGGTTTCATTTGATACAGGCTACATTTTGGATGAAATTTTGAAAAGATTTTGATAAGATTTGATAAAATTTTGATGAAACTTTAATAAAAAATGCTTTCGCAAAATCCTAAGGTTGTAACGTTATTTTTTTCTATTTGGGTGTTTGGTCCTGAAGATAACCACTCGTTTTTAATACGTTTCATTATTCTCTTAAAGGTACAGGTGCGCCATTCTTTTTGACCAATCAAACTTTAGTCTCAGAAACGGGAACTAATCTAATCAGAAATAGTGTTCACAGCTCACCGTCGAAATTTGAGCCTTCAAATGACGACTCGTGATTTTAAGATACTCTGTGATATAGAAAAGACATATATAGAAATTGTTGGTAAATTTCCTAGTTTGAGATATTATTTGAAGGAATTATGCGATTTTCGTTCATTTTTAAAACTTCTGAAGACTATTTACATATTTTCAACACTCAAATCAACCGCTCAAAATGGGACACCTTTACTTTAAATTACTTTAGTTTCTTTAGATTGTTGCTGAAATACATGATTAAAAAAACAACATTGCATGGTTGAATTTTATTTAAAAAATTGTCTTGACATTTTCTAACCTTTGACTGTGTACTTGAGGGAACTTTAATTTAATACAATCTTATTCACAAGTTGACGTTCCTCTACTTTATATTGTAATTATAGAATTCTTCTTGCTTCTTATGATGAATTGATGTTAAAATATATGCTTCAATTGTTTGTTACTGTATTTGATATTGTAACACTATCCTATATAACCTATATTATTATATAATCACTCTATAACAATATAACATTAGTAAAGAAAAACAAATCATTGTGTATTTTAAAAATATAACTCTGAAATTAAACGGCATGAATTTAAGAACATGGCGATATTTCTCAAGACTGTAGAATTAGCCTAGTTGTTTCCCTTTCTATCTGAAGAACAATAATAGTAGCATAGTACCATTTACCGTCTTTCACCCCTCAAAGCTGAGTATTCGATCTCAAGACAAAGCGTCACCTACAAGAGTGAGTTGATCAGGTATAGCTACATGCATTCGGCAACCTTCGAACTGCAAACATTTACCACCTTTTGTCATTATCTCTAGATCACATACCCTTACCACCCTAAGGTCCATAGACACCGTAAAACACTCGAAGGTCATTGGGCCTGATAACCTTACCACACTGAAGTCATTAGACCAAATACACTTACTAGTTACTACTCTCGGTTACTCCCGGTACCAAATACAGTCAGGCGGTAGACTTAACTTACAGAATTGTAAGAAGAAGGAAAAAGCCTTTATTTTTGCAGAATGTTCCGCAATGTCTTCATCGGATACCAACATTTTGCCAAATTTGACTTTTGTCAAAAAAATAACGATTCAAAAAAGGATATGAGCAAATGTGAACTTTTGAGTCTGGCCCTATCTATCACACCTGTATATCACGTCTGGGTAGGGCCAGATTTGACGGACTAGTATCCTTGAGTATCGTTAAAAGTTTCCAGATGTTCTATCCCGATCTGTGAAATATACAACTCTTTGAAGCTGTATAATACAGTATAATTGCACTGTTTACATGGCAAATTTTGCTTTATAAAGCAAGGTTTATACAACTTTCTGTCCCATGTAAATGGACCTTTAGGCAATTGCATTGTATTTATGAGTTGTTTCAGGACTTTTGTTGATATTAGTAAAAGTAATTATTGTCAACATTGTCAAAATACCAGTTTGTCCCACATGTCTGTAACTAATTCATAAATGGCCAAATTAGAAGATAATTACCAGAAGAATTCCAATGAGTGACCGATCAAGAAACGTTCAAAATTTTTTTTTTGTTTATCCAGACTGTGCATGCATGTACATTTATGATTGGTTAAAACTCTTAATTATATGCAATAAGAACATAATGATATGATTAAGAATACATGATAATTCATTAGAAACACCAATTAATCAATTAGTTTGCTTAATTTGACAATACAAGGTAAGGAAACTCATCTTTAAGTTTATAACGTTGACAGTGTAGCCCTAAAGCAAAACGTCATATTAATTCTAAGAGGCTTGCGCAACCATTCAATATCATTTAAATGTCACAAAATTTTGCTGGTGTTACATTTTTTTTTATCAAATGGAAGCTAATAAAATGGTCAGCCACAAAATATTTGAGGACCACCCTGGAGAGTATCTCTTATAAACTTTATACAAAATTGGAGATATTTTCTATTCAAGGAGAATGGCTTAAAAACACCGAAGTAGAAAGCTGACAGGCTAGAAGATCCAAAAACAATGAGATAAGGTCTCTGGGCCACGCTGGGAGCTGTTCACAGTTCTATAGTTATTATTATCGAAGGTCATTGCCTCGTGTTGGTATTCCTGTCAAGTCTAGATTTAATGTATTTAAGTTATAGCCGTGAGAAGAAGAAGTGAAATCGTGCGATAGGAGAGATATATAATATTTGATTTTTTTATTTTCGAAACTCGTAAAATATCATTTACATTCCAGTATAAACCTACATTAACAGCTGTATTCAGAATGATGAATTATAGTCAAAACATGTTAAGGTCAGAAGATTGTAACAGTTTTATTTTAACGTGAGTTAAATGTAAAACCGTACAGCACGTTATAGAATTGATCACAAACTCGGTGTCGGCGCCAGGGGGAGGGTATCTGCCGTCCTAAGAAAGTGGTCTGTACTCCTAATTAACCCCAACTTCAATTCTAGCCAATTTTGAAATGTTTTTTATTCGATTTTGTCTGATGATATATGTTAAAATGCCAAAAAAACAATTTAATTTTTCAAAGGTTTTATCAAAAGAGAGAAAAGAGGTTTGTGCCTATGTCGCTTCCACAGAACCACCTAGTTATAAATCTAAAGTTAGTTATAACAATGGTTTCCAAAACTATCTTGAAAGGCTTTTCAGTACCCCTTAGTCAAATCTTTATCTTAAATACTAGAATCTAAACTATTCTATAATGTAAATATATTTCACTGGGTTAAAGTGATGAAAGGCGTGTCTCGCTTCATTTTGCTCCTTTTGCTATATCGCCCCCACCCAATTTGTCTCCCAAATTCGCCCAAGATCCATTTTGCCCTTTCTCGCTTCACCTCTTCTCCACTTCACCCCTTCTTTTCCGTTTCGCCCCTTTCTTAAAATTAGACCTCACAAGAAATTGTCCTTGTTCCGGGTTTTAATTCATGTCAAGGTCGGTATATTTAATGGAGGTTCAGGCGATATGGGAATAAACAGAAGTCAGGTGATACCCAACAAAGAAATAAAATAATAAACAAATGTCACCAACTGAGTTGTTTATAAAACTTCTCTCAAATTTCACAATAAAAATATAAAGAACAGTGTGTTGTAAATAACCTTGTATATATCTAGCTAATACACCCACATTATAGAGTGGATGCTATCGCCACTATTTGACCTCTGTACACAGTTGCTTACAAATAGGCCAAGTTTGTTCACAGATGATAAAAAACAGTTAAAGTTCCCTTCACAAGAAATTACAGATGAAGTCTAAAGTGTGTGTTTATAATGTTAAATACAGTTGTGACGATATTCCCTGATGTTCGAGTTCTTATAACTAACTAATTACCACTTCAGAGTATCAATCATATCATCAAGCCTGACACATTGGCGATTTTCGTCCAGACAATGCCGAGCAATCGGTCGAAGCAATGCGTGCCATTTCGTCGCACTGTGCACGACCAAAAAATAGGCTTCATTATTTATGCTTTAAACAGGCACCGTTGGCATGAGTGGAACGTGCATGATACGAAAAGTCTACGTTGTTGATGATCAGGTTGCTCAATAAACAGAGATAAATGGTTTATAAACATTTATTGATATCACCTAGCTAGATAGTTCTTACTCAATAAACAGAGATCAAAGGTTTATAAACAATTATTCATATCACCTAGCTAGATAGTTCTTACTCAATAAACAGAGATCAAAGGTTTATAAACAATTATTCATATCACCTAGCTAGATAGTTCTTACTCAATAAACAGAGATCAAAGGTTTATAAACACTTATTTATATCACCTAGCTAGATAGTTCTTACTGTATAAATAGAGATCAAAGATTTCCAAACACTTATTTATATCACCTAGCTAGATAGTTCTTACTCAATAAACAGAGATCAAAGGTTTATAATTATTTATTTATATCACCTAGCTAGATAGTTCTTACTCTATAAACAGAGATCAAAGGTTTATAAACAATTATTCATATCACCTAGCTAGATAGTTCTTACTTAATAAACAGAGATCAAAGGTTTATAATTATTTATTTATATCACCTTGCTAGATAGTTCTTACTCTATAAACAGAGATCAAAGGTTTATAAACATTTATTCATATCACCTAGCTAGATAGTTCTTACTCAATAAACAGGGATCAAAGGTTTTAAACATTTATTCATATCATTTAGCTAGATAGTTTTTACTCAATAAACAGAGATCAAAGGCTTATAAACATTTATTCATATCACCTAGCTAGATAGTTCTTACTCAATAAACAGAGATCAAAGGTTTATAAACATTTATTTATATCACCTGGCTAGATAGTTCTTACTTAATAAACAGAGATCAAAGGTTTATAAACATTTATTCATATCACCTTGCTAGATAGTTCTTACTCAATAAACAGAGATCAAAGGCTTATAAACATTTATTCATATCACCTTGCTAGATAGTTCTTACTCAATAAACAGAGATCATAGGTTTATAAACATTTATTCATATCACCTTGCTAGATAGTTCTTACTCAATAAACAGAGATCAAAGGTTTTAAACATTTATTCTGTAATTGTGATATCATCAATAATTCGCCTTTATTCAATAGTATAATATAATACACCAACCCACAACTATTTTGTCCTGTAAATGTTGTATAGTTTACCTTGCCAGGCAACTACAGGATGTAGAATATAATATAAGAAAATGCATCAACGACCACAACTTAAATATTCACAATGATTCTACTACACATTATTCTACTATTTTCTGTTATTAATGTTTCATGTCATGACCTGTCAACAACTCCTAAAGTATCGGATAAATCATCACTACAACCATGTTCACGGACAGATACAACAGATGATATTCAAGATTTAAAAGTTCAGATTTCTCAACAAAATACAAGATTCGCGCAACAAAATACCAACATAGCAGACCAAAATACCAAATTAGCAGAACAAAATACCAAATTTGCGGACCAAAATACTAAACTTGCGGAACAAGACATCGAAATATTGGAACAGAATATCAAAATTAAAAATTTGGAGATGAAAATTGAGGAACTAAAAAAGGCAGACGGCCGTGAAAATCAACCACCATCAAGAAATAGTAAGTTATAAAGATTATTAGTAAAGTTGTTATAGAGTTTACTACAGTTATTATGGAGTTTATTAGTAAAGTTGTTATAGAGTTTACTAGTAAAGTTTTGATAGAGATTACTAGTAAAATTGTTATAGAGCTTATTAGTAAAGTTGTTATAGTGTTTACTAGTAAAAATGAATTCGGAATTTTCTGGATGGGGTGAGGTGGACGACCCTTTTCTTGCTATGAGGTAACTTTATAATTCTTAATAGGTATTTATTTATATCTTCTAGATTCAACTTCTAAAGAAACTGGTAGTATATTTACTAGATGGGGACGTACAGATTGTCCCAGAAATGTTTCTCAGTTAGTATATTCAGGTAAGGTTTTTGTGTTTTATACAGTAGACTGAATTATTTATATGATAATATTGTTTTCTGTAGAATCGTTAGCTAGAACATAGAAATAATTTTAACTAAAGTAATAACAGACTTCTATACTGTAATTTAAAAAATACACTAGAGCCACACGTGGCACAGAGTGGGACTTTGCTACTGTGGCAAATTGCAAGAGACCCTGAACCTAGGTAAATTAGGTCACGTGCCAGAACTGCAAATAGCCAAAGTCAACGACCTCTGACCTTGTAAAGGGGAATGTCAACAAAGGTTAAGCCAAGGTCACGAGATATATGTCATCAAATTTTCAAAATGTATACGGCTATTAAACCGGAAGCTTTCATTTGACTTCAATTATGAAGGTATCAATCTATAGCCAAGGTCAATGACCTTCGATCTTAAAATGTCAATGTCAAAAATTGAAAATGTTGAAATTCCAAAACCTGTTCCTCCTTTTGAACTGTTAGGATAAAACAATTGAGCTTTTTGCACAAACTGGCTAAATAAATGAAGTAATTGTGTACAAAGTCCCTTTTTGAACAAATGTATTCTTTGCGAGCGATGCCCCTGGTCAAAAATGTCAATAATGAGTAATTTAACCCGGATGTGCCCTGCCCACCTCATTTATTTGACATAAGTTAATTGATATTCTAAATGTTATGTTGTGTTCCAAATTTAAAGCTTCTACATCATACGGGTCAAAAGATATCGGTCAACAAGGGTCAACAAAGGTCAAAATCGAAAAATGAAAATATGGAAATTTTAAAACCCGTTCCTTTTTTGGAACTATAAAGCTGAAACAATTGAGCTGCTAACACAAACTAGCCAAAAGGATGAAGTAATTGTGCGCAAAGTCCCTTTTTGAACAAATGTATCCTTTACATGTTATGCCCCTGCCCCTAAATGTATACAATTAGTATTTTAAACCGGATATGCCACGCCCACCTCAATTTTTTGGTCATAAGTTAATTCATATCAAAATGTCTAGTTTTGATCCAAATTTCAAGGTTCTAAATCAAATAGGTCAAATAGATATACATACACCAAGCTCAAAGAGACAGAAATATTGTAAAAAAACACGAAAATTTGAAAAAATCAAGAATTTCAATTTTGCTTTTAAAAAAACGATTGTTATATATCACTGGAAAAAGCATGAAATGCACATTAAGAATCGCCAAAAACTAAACCTTCTAGGTTAATTAGGTCCAAAGTTTTGAATTTGGCTGTTTTCGGACATCCATAAAACCGGAAGTAGAGGTCAAATATGAAAGTATCAGCTGATAGCCCAGGTTAATGGCTCATGGGAAATGAGCCTTCAAACTTTTCAAAATTTCAACCGGAAATTGCAGAAAAGCAAAAGCGAAAATGAAAAATTGGGCTTCTTATTTATTTTTCATTTGTTCTTTCAATTGATACCAAAATTATCTAACTCGGATAAGCCGTTATCTCGGAATAGATTTTGACGCATTTCAGGATAATCAAAATTGCGGCCAAAGTATCACTTCCGGAATGGATTTTATTTTAAAATCGGCTGTAGAATAACAATGAGTTAAAAACCAGACGTATAATACGACGTATACAATACCCTGTTTCAGTGTTCTTTTAACAGATTCATAACGTCCCCATAACGTATTGACTTAGGGCAGAGTATTCGACAAATTTGCTGAATGTATGCACTTGCTAATCTGTGTAACTTATATCTAGGTATAACTGGCGGATCACATTATACACATACTGGAGGAGCAGCAGAATATATTTGTCTACCACCTGATCCAATGTGGAACATTAATAAACATTATAATGGTCCTTATTGGGGATATATGTACGGTGCAGAATATGAGGATGCTACGAAGCCATTACATCATTATGAAGTACCATGTGCCGTATGTCGATCTAGCCAGTTTTCTACAGTATTAATGATACCAGCTAGATCAGAATGTTATCAAGGCTGGCAGAAAGCATACCATGGAGAGTTAGTCAGTGGGTATTATAAGCATAATGCAGCGTCTCAATATATTTGTTTAGATGATAACCCACAAACTAACGGCACAAATGCTATTAAATATGGTAAACTAACATTTCCAGTGAGAGCGCAGTGTGGATCACTACCATGTCCTCCTTATGAACATAACACTCTTCTCACCTGTGTTGTCTGTTTGAAATAGATATACAGTGAATATTATGGAAGCCGGCTGCGGCCATATCTACCCTCGCTTTCTCGTCTTTTTCCTCGCTCTGTCGTCTCTCGACTTCTCGCCGCAGCCAGCTTCCATAGAATACAATGTCTTTTGTCGTCCCCTTGTCAGTCCGTCGGTCCGTTCCTCCACAATAGGCTTGTATGTTATTCTACAAGTAGGAGTTTTTCTAAAACATAATGGGTATCACACTAAGTGTTTGTTGACTTCACTAATTACGAAGGACCTTATATGAAAAAGCATATTTTGCAATTAATGACCTCATCAAACAGTTAGTTTGGTTGAATTGTAGGACAGGAACCGCATCTGGTTGAAAATTGGAATGGTGCAATTTATTGATATTAGTGTCTCCGATACACTTCGAAAATGAGAAAATCTTTACAATCGCTTTAAGTTTATGCGATTTGGCCTTTACATGCATGTTGCAGACATTCGATTCAACTATGGCGAACTTTGTGATGTCGTGTGAAACAATTTTGATAAGAGTTTGATAACATTTTGATGAAACTTTAATTTTTTGACTTTTTCTAGCCTTTGACTGTGTACTTGGGGGAACTTTAATTTAATACAATCTTATTCACAAGTTGACGTTCCTCTACTTTATATTGTAATTATAGAATTCTTCTTGCTTCTTATGATGAATTGATGTTAAAATATATGCTTAATTGTTTGTTACTGTATTTGATATTGTAACACTATCCTATATAACCTATATTATTATATAATCACTCTATAACAATATAACATTAGTAAAGAAAAACAAATCATTGTGATTTGGTGTATTTTAAAAACTCGTTAGTTATTATTAAAGTAATAAATTTACTAGTAAAAGTAATTATTGTCAACATTGTTGATAGTTAGTATTTTTTTTATATCTGTATATTTTGTTCTCTACAATATAAAAACATAATAACATAATTTTAAATTTTGTCAATTAGTTAAAGATGGGCTCCCTTATTTTCATTTATGATAATACTTTTATGAATAGAAAGTAGAGTTGTTCTAATGAAAAATACCAGTTTGTCTCACATATCCGTAACTAATTCATAATTAGCTAAATTAGAAGAGATTTACCAGCAGAATTCCAATGAGTGACCGATCAAGAAACGTTAAAAAGTATTTTTTTTGTTTATCCAGACTGTACATGCATGGACATTTATGATTGGTTAAAAATCTTACTTATATGCAATAAGAACATAATGATATGATTAAGAATACATCATAATTCATTAGAAACACCAATTAATCAATTAGCAACCATTCAATATCATTTAAATGTCACAAAATTTTGCTGGTGTTCCTTTTTTTTTTTTTATCAAATTACATTACCTAGCAAGATACGTCCACTTACCTGATAAATTTTCAGTATATCAAGGGGGGTCGTCAATCGTGTTAATCGTACTAAAATCTAACATGTCCAAGATATTGTTGATTTAAACCAAGACACAAAATCCATATATATCGCCCTTCCCATTTCACCCTTCCCAGTTCATTTACATATAGTTCCAACCGATTGAAGTTATTGAATACAAACGTGCAATCAAGGGGGGCAATTTAGCAAAGCACCTTGACAGAGATTAAACGTCGGGAAACAAAATTTCACCGAGTATTTTAGATTTTTGAGATTATTTTTGTTAAAACACACAAGTTATAATGCGTTAAATTTTTATTATAATTTTCTGGGCACGCTTCCTGCAGCCAGTGCATATAATTTAGGGAAAGCCAATTTCTGCTCGTATAGTTTTTGAAGAACAAGATTGGAGTCCTGATTTTCTGTCTTGGCAACTTTATCTTGGAGAAATTGTTTTGACACCTCAAGTTCAGCGACACCAACTGTATCAAATTGTCTATTCTAATGTAATTAAATTTAAAAATTTTATGAAAAGCTATGATGTCTGGTTTCATCCTCAGCTAAGTATAAACAGAAAGATATTTAAAAACGGTTCTTAAGTAGGTCTACAGATAGGAATACTTAGTATTTTGTTGAACCATTACGCATAACGCACCCCTGAAAGCCATAACCTTATTTTTCTTTACGTAAAATAGAAATACTCATCATATGATCGACAATGCAAGAGCAGCTGACTGGTGCACTTACTCCACCATAAAATGCCTGACCAGAATGACCACTGTTGGCCAATCACTCAGACTCAGTAACCTACCGCTCCTATTGACTCAGGAAAAAGAAAAGGTGTATTTCAAAAAAGCGACCGGTACATTTTTCTATGGGGGGCAAGATTTGATTTAGGCTTTGTGTAATTTAGGCTACTGGCCTGGTGTTCACAGCATATCGTCGAAATTTGACCCTTCAAATCCATATGTGTCCAGAATTATTCGCGTCTGAATGTTAAAATGACGACTCGTCAATTTAAGATACTCGTGATATAAAAAATAGACATAGATGGAAATAATGAATAAAATTCCTATTTTGAAGTATTTGCAAAGGAATTACGCGATTTTCTTACAATTCTAGTATTTCTGAAGACTCTTTACAAGCCCCCAAAATGACACAACTGTTCCTTTTAAAAATACAAAAGGCGGTCAAAAAACTTTTAAAGGGGTATTCCGCTTTTTGTAAAAAGTTTTCCTTATCAAAAACATTGTAAATTATACCTGAAAATATTTCGAAAGTATGCTATTTATATCTCTGTATTTTGTTGATCGAAATGAATTTACAAGAAGCTTTACAAGACGATCCCCACTAGATCATCTCCTCGGATCAAGTCGAAAATTTATGGCTCTTCGATCTGAAAAAAAAAGATTTCTACGCTGATCTTCAAAAACTGGAGGTAAAACAACTCCTTGTCATTGGGGATACTTGAATCTTCTATTTGCACCAATCCATTCCTGTTTTATTTGACAGAAATATTTTTTGAAGGTGAACCAGTTATAACCAATGGTAAACTAAATGGTAAATATGTATATTATGGATTGTGGTAATGTGGTTTGACAACTATAATAAGAGTTGTTTCCCTTCCCATAATGGGAGTTATAAAATCCATGCACTTCAGTGACCTTCACTGTCTGTCACTAATAATGACCTTGAAGCCACCTTACCTGACCCAGTGTCTCTTTAGTCACCTTGCCAGGACAATGTCACAATAAACTCCATCTATCGATCATTCATATAGCTTCATAGATTATCAGGCCCGTCGTTAGCTCAGTACTTCTTGGGGCAGGATAAACGATCATTTATAGCTTCATAAATTAAAATTCTTTCACCCGGTTTCCCCTGCTAGTGATTATGGACTGACATGGAAAAAGCATCTAGTTGTTTGGATGGGACAATACACCGAGGCCCCGTGTGCTACAGGCTGTGCACTTTAAAGATGCCGCTGTCCTGGCAAAATGTGCTTGGCAAGTAGATTATGTGGGATCACAGAGGTGCCACAGGACGTAAAACTCCATTTCATTTCAATTCACTGTGAATGTTAATAACATTAATCGATGTAGGTTATCGACTAAAACAATACAGCGTCACCCAAGTTTCCAAAATAAATAAATACAGCTGTGTCATGTACCTGGTTCAATATTATCAAACTTTTCAATCAATATTACATAGATATTTTGAAGATGATGCGTTACTCCCTCTGTATCAGAGATTTGGGAAAGGGAAATTAAATATCTAGTCGGTTCCTTTTAACATTCAATAACGAAAGAAAAGAAAATAAACAACTATATTTAACAAGGATAACAACTTAGGTTCACAATGGATCATTTCTACCAGATTGGCATGTCAAAACATCTTGCATTGATCTTCCCCGGATTATCCGTACCCATGTACAAATGGGTCGACTGAAGTCAGCTTTGAGTGGGCTCAGATCGATTGACGATTCATGGCATCATGTTGAATCCATCACAATGAGCGATGTAGATAAATACTGTAAACATAGAGGCTATCTTACCGCGGTCGACTCAGAGCCACAAGGACATGCTTATCTGCTGGCAACTGGGATTTTCAATCCTTGAGAAATTGTGAACGACTCAAATCCAGCGATTTATCAGATTGTGCCATATACTTCCAGTATGTAAGATAGATAAGATAAGATTTATCGCATATTCTCCCATTGTGGGCACAAACAAAAAACCATATAAAACAGTATAGAGCAAAAACAAAAAAACACAAAACTAGAAACGTCTTTTGCTGTGTGGCGGCGGTACGTTTATGATAAAAGTCGCAAAGCTTTCTAGAACGAACTGAGAATGTTGAATTAATGTTAAAATAAGATTTTTGAATGGACTGGAATAAAATATGAATTGAAACGTTTGCTAAACCGGAAGTATCATATCGCAATATGTACAAAATTCTGGTTTGGTGGCTGTAGAGCTTTTTGTGGGCCGATTTACATCGAGTTTTCTTTTGTTTGCCTTTTGTAACAAGATGTATCGAACGCAATAGAAAAATTCAGAAATTTTGAAAATTTTTTGTAGAGAAAAAAAATTGCATGAAACATTTTAAAATTTTAAACTTTCGGTTTGTCGTGATAATTTCCGGTTTCTCGAAATCAACTTGGTCGACCCTGATTCCGGTGTAATTCACAAATGTAGACAAAAACCGTGCTGATTAATTTAAATCACCATAGATAGAAAATTCAAACCAGAAGTGAAGCATGCACAGTTACCTCAGAGTGGCACATTTTCTTTCGCCATTTATTATCCGATTTGTATGATTTTGGTGTCTATCAAACCTGATTACTTTATTTAAAACTTGTTGGAAATAGAACTTTGAATTTCGAATTTAATTTTTTTTTATGCCTTTTCGAATTTTTTGAAAATTTTAAATTTCTCGTGACCTTAACCTTTAATGGCCTTGGATTTTCCAGTGTCCTTGACCTCCGCTATCTATTTGACGAAATATATCAATTTCCGGATTTATAGCTCATCGATCTATGAACAGAGGGACTTGGTTTTATTAGATTATTAGTGACCTAAATTTCTCTTTTTGATGATATATTACAATAATGCATGAA